CGGTCGCCTCGGCCTACCAGCGCTTCGAGCCCCGCGCCTACCTCCGCAACAACTACGCGCCCCCTCGCGGGGACCTGAGCAGCCCGGATGGCGTCGGGCCTTGGAAGCTGCGCTGCTTGGCGCAGACCTTCGCCACCGGTGAGCGCGGGGAAACTGAGGCCGTGTGGCACATGGGACATGTCATCAGGGAGCGAAGGGAGAGCGAGAAGCAAAGACCTAAGAGGTGCACGCAGGAGAGAGAACAGCGCTTAGGAGAGGCCCAGAGGTGTGGAGGGTGTGGAGGGAGAATCCTCAGAACTGAGGGGTGAGGCCGGTGGTGCGGCAGGGAGGAGGGAGAGATGCAGAGGCAGACATAGAGGCAGGGACCGTAGGGAGATGGAGGACCTGCCAGGCGTCTCCGGAGCTCTCCGCTTACTCCTCACCTAGGGAGTTTTCTAGTCTCGGGCTCCAGTTCTTTACCCAAGGTAAGTCTGTCCATATGGGAACCAGGACTTCGCTGGGGGGGTGGGGGAGTATCACTCCAGAGCCAATGCTTTATCCAGATGAAGACACCCTTCTGGAGGGAGAAGGAAGAGCTAGAGAGAGGGAGGGGGTACCAGGTGGTGTAGTGATTAAGGCAGGTGGATCCCACATGGCCGACTGTGCAGTTCGAGTCCCGGACCCGGTGGCTTGAAAAACATACCAGGCCTGTGTGGCCACACGCAAGAGGAGGAGCAGAGGAGAAGGGACTGTGAAATGGCCATCCCCCTGGGGGTTGCTTTCTCTCTTTCTGTCTCCGGTGAGCACGTGTCCTACAGCAAATTTTTAAAAAGAGAGAAAAAGAAGGTAAGGGGGGGGCAGGACGAAGCAGGGGCCCTGCCTGGCACCAGGACCCTCTTCCTCTGCCTGCCCAGGTGAGGTATCAGGGAGCACCCTCATCGACATTGGTTCAGGCCCCACTGTCTACCAGCTGCTTAGCGCCTGCGCCCACTTTGAAGACATCACCATGACCGACTTCTTGGAGGTCAACCGCCAGGAGCTGGGGCTCTGGCTGCGGGAGGAGCCGGGAGCCTTCGACTGGAGCGTGTACAGCCAGCATGTCTGCCTCATTGAGGGCAAGGGGTGAGGGCCAGGGCCGGGCGGGCAGGGAGGCTCCACACTGGTTGGTTGGGGCCACGGAGGAGTGGGGGCAGTCCTGAGCCCTGCCTGTGCCCCCTGCACAGTGAGACCTGGCAGGAGAAGGAGCGCCAGCTGCGAGGCCGGGTGAAGCGGGTCCTGCCCATCGACGTGCACCAGCCCCAGCCTCTGGGCGCCGGGAACCTGGCGCCCCTGCCTGTCGACGCCCTGGTCTCTGCCTTCTGCCTGGAGGCCGTGAGCCCAGACCTCGCCAGCTTCCGGCGGGCATTGGGCCACATCACCACTCTGCTGAAGGCTGGGGGGCACCTCCTTCTCATCGGGGCCCTGGAGGAGTCATGGTATCTGGCTGGGGAGGCCAAGCTGGAGGTGGTGCCGGTGTGTGAGGAGGAGGTGAGGGAGGCCCTGGTGCACAGTGGGTATGAGGTTCGGGACCTGCGCACCTACATCATGCCCGCACACCTCCGGACAGGTGTGGACGATGTCAAAGGCATCTTCTTTGCCTGGGCCCAGAAGAAGGTGGAGCTGGGGGTGTGAGGGCCTGTGTCCTGTGACCCTCACCATCAGACTGCCTGTCATCTGAGGCAGCTCCTAATAAATATTACCCCGCTGCAGGGCGTCAGTGTCGTCTGTGGCTCTCCTGGGAAGCAAGGGCCCAGAGATTTCTTCAGAGCGAGGGTGAGGGAGGCGCTAACCTAGCCTTGTTCCCAGCAGTGTCCTTGAAGGTAGCTTTCTGTAGTACCCGTTCTTCCCAAACTCAGGGAGGCCCAGCTCAGGGGGCTCACTGCGCACCTGCTGCGCCCAGGCCCTTGGGACACAGCTCTGTCAGCACGGCAGCCGGCGCCTGCTCGGCAGCCATCAGGCTAGCTCGTTCCCGGTGACGTTCAGAGGCTAAGCGACCATAGCAGTGGAGCCTGGTTCAGGCCAGCGGCAGCGAGAGCAGGGGGAGTCAGGAGACTGGAGCAGTGCCGGGGTGCGGGTGGCAGGTAAGGCTGCTCCAGCCCAGGCACAGACACCAGCCCAGGGAAGCGAGGGGAAAAGAACTGGCGCTAGCCCCTCCCCAGACCTCTGGTAACCTAGACTTGAGCTCCGGCACCTGGTCCCCGCTGTCCCATGTGGTGTCATTTGTGTCTGCAGCCTCTTGCCCTCCAGCCCACCCTCCCGACAAGTGAGCTGAACAAGGGGAAGTGGGTCGAGAACTGGTTTATTAAATTCGTCCCTTGAAATAGTTCTCAGTTCAGAAGGAACCAACAGGCCACCCCAGTCCCTGAGTGTGAAGCCCTGACCTGGCTCTGCTCCTCAGGAGGGACATGGGGGCAGGGACAGGGCAGGACTCGGCTCTCAGCTCTGATCACGGAGCCTGCCTTAGGATGGAAAGTTTCTGGAGCTCCACATTCTGTACTGCGGGGCACGAATGTGCTGGGCCCGGCGACAACTGGCAGGGGTCACCTTTATCAGGAGCAGGCATGATGTGGCCCCTGCCTGCTGAGGCCACCTTGGAAGTAAGCCGCTGGTGGGTGGGGCAGAAATCAGACCAAACACAAGCGCTCTGCCTTCCTCGGATGGTCTCAAGCGCTCCGTGAAGTCCAGGCTGGCAAAGGGCACTGGGGGAGGGGAGGCAACCATGCCTAGGCAAGGAGACCCGGAGACTGGTGCCAGAGGGTGCTTTTAAGTTGTGTGGGGGCCCTGTGCAGTTTGGAAGGGGAGGGTGACCAGGAACATATATGTACACACGTGGCCCACTCTCCAGACCCCTCTGCCAGATCAGAGCGGGGGTAACCTGGCTGGCCGCCTGCCTGGGGCCGTGGGCAGAACCGGCGCTCAATAGAGGGGCTACTCGATTCCCATCTTCCTGCTCCAACCTCCCCCGCCCGCCATGCGGCATGTTCGCCTGCATTCACACGCATCTGTCACAACCCCACAAGCACACACACTTAGCCTCTGTAGTCCCCCAGCTCACGCTACCCCACCTGCCCCCGAACACACACTTTAACCACATGCAGGGCCAGAGAGTGGCACATTGGTCAAATGTGATGTGGTACTCTGTGAAGCGACCCCACATGTGAAGGTTCCCAGTTCAAATCCCAAGACTTCCCGGGATACACCAGGCAGGTGCATGTCCGGGATTCGGGGCTGGCTGAAGGCTCATGCATTGCAGTGTAAGGACGCTGACCGGGCTGTCTTCCTCCCTCTCTCCTTGGAGAAATACACTTAACGACAACAAAAGCCACACGCACCCACCCCTAAATGCTGCCCAGGACTCCCTGCCTGGCTCCTTCTGGCCCACATTCCTCTGCACATTAATCCCAACAAACACAGCAGCACAGGGTTCTTGTTCTGGGCTCTCTGGAGTCCAGGCCCTAAGGGGGAGTGTGGTGGCGGAGTGTGAGGCAGCCGTAGGGGTGAACCCCCTCACCAGTCCCTAGCCCAACAGTTTGGTCCCATAAGATCCCCCTTGGGGAGGATGAGACTGGCCTTGGGAAGCCAAAGAGCAAGCATCCAGCGCCACCTAGTGGTGCCCTGAAGGAAGGCAGAGGGTAATGGAGGGGACCCGCCAGATTCAAGGCCGGTGGTACCTGACTCTCTGGGACCCAGCCAGGCATGGAGGATGTGGGGTGGAGGCCGATGGGGAGGAAAGAGGCAGAGCCCAGAGCACACCTGGTTCTACCTCAGTTCTGTTCCAGGGGCTAGAGGGGCTCCCGGTCCTCTAGCTCCCCATGCTGGGAGTCCACCCCAGACCAGGCTCCAAGACCAGTAAGGGTCAGACGGGTGGGCTCCTTACATATTCTAAGCCCGCACCCCTCATGTCCAAATTCGAGAAGCTGAAGGAAGAAAACAGAACGTCTCAAGGATTGAGGGGAGAGGGACCAGCAGGGGGCGCTGGGCAGGATGGCCAACAGGGCAGACCCTTCCCAGGGTCTTCAGTCCAGCTTGAACTTGGCCTCTGATTCCTGCAGCAGGTACAGGCTGTCATCTTCCAGAAAGCTGCGGGCCGAGGGAGGAGCCCTGAGAACTCTCGCACAGCTCCCAGAGCTCCCGGGGTGGGGGGGGTGAGAGCAGGCCAGCTGGCAGGAGGGCGCGTGGCACACCCCCTCCCTAAGGAGCTGCAAGGAAGTGCATAAAGGCAAGCACCAAGCGGGGAGGAGCACCAACCTGAAAAAGAGGACGTGGACAGGGATGGTGCTGATGTGCCAGATGGCATGGGCATCCAGGACCCAGAAGAGGGGTGGGAAGTCGAGCAGCTCGAGCAGGGACAGCCCCTGCAGCAGCAAGACCACCGCCATGCACTTGCGCACGTGAGGCAGCTGTCGCCGGTTCCGCAGGCACCAGGCCAACCACCACAGCACGTTCACCAGGCCTGGGTGCCAGTGGGGCAGGGACGGGCTCAGCCCAGGGCCTCCCCACCCCACCAAGGCTGCTCCATCCCATGCTCTCTGACCCCAGGACTATCCTCAGACCTTCTTGCCACCTCCCCTCTCCCACCTCGAACCTTCCCCCTTTCTAGACCCTCCTTCTCCAGGATGGGTGCCGACGCCCCCCACACCCTGCTTCAAAGCAGCTCTCCAGAGAGCCCAGCCCTGGGGCCTCAGCGCCATCTCACCGATAGCCACGTTGGCCGCCAGGTTGTAGCCATAGTCGAAGCGGACGAGGCTCAGGTAGGAGATGTGTGCGGTCAGCAGGAGCAGCAGGAGGGCCCGGAAGGCACTGGCCCTGGCTGGGCGCTGCAGCCCCACGGTCCTGCCGCCGGCCAGAGCTGCTCAGGTGGTGACAGCGGGTGGCCCGACCCCAGAACCGCATTCCCAGAAGCATCGCCTCCCCCCAACACTGGTACCTGAAGCCCCTGCCTGCACCCCCTCCAAAACAGGTCAGCGGGCAGACCTCTAGTTTCCCAGGGGCCGGGATGAAGTGCTACAGCTCCTTGTGAGAAGCCAGCCCCCGGGTTCTACCCCAGCACCCCCATCCAGGACAGCCCGTGTGTGTGTGTGTGTGTGTGTGTGCACACGTGTGCTGGGAGACCAGTGAAGGCCCTGGAGCAGCACCCCGGGGGAGCACTGAGCAACCCCATTCTGCCGTCAGGCCTGACCGCACCCCGCAGCCCCTAAGGCAGGCTCACCTGACACAGCACAGATAGACTGAGTGCAGGATGACGGTGGAGGCACAGAAGTAGTCCATTCTCTGTGGACAGGGAGAGCCAGCAATGGGGTCAGTGACGGACAGGACCCATGCCATGGGGGAGAGTGGCAGGGAGGGTGGGGGCCACGTCCATTGCTGCTTCACTCTCAAATGGGGCAGACTGACTCTGTGTCCACATACAATTGTTCTTAAATGCGCTCAGAGGTGAGGCTCTAGAGGCACTGGTGGAAGGTGCCTGCGGGGCTTCCGGAACGTGTGAGCGTGCCAGAGTTCAGAGCACCTTCTGCCACCTCGGACCAGGTCCTGATGCATGAGCCTGAGCAGTGGTCCCGCCTCTGCAAGGCTCAGCTGCCCCGTCAAGACAAGCACCCAGCCATACCTACCTTCCGGGATTCAAGCAAGGTCAAGTGGAGGTGGGACAGCGTCCCCCCGCTGCCCCCCACCAGTCACTGCGGGAGGGAGAGCTGGAGGGGCGCTCACCTCTGTGAGGTCAGTGTCCCTGGTGTGGAAGACTGTGGACCAGAACCAAGCGTTGAGCGACACCTGAGGAGGGAGGGGCTGGTGAGCATGCTGTCCCCACTTCACCTTGGAGGGGTAGCCCTGTGAGTGAGCAGCGTGCTTCCCCTTGTCCTCCACTCCTGTTTCCCTGTAGTGGACTTCTCACCACCCCAACCCCCACCCCCCCAGGCCCGGGGGCTGCAGCCTCCACAGTTCCAGCCTGGCCCAGGCGCCAGTTCCTGCAGAGCCAAGTGCTCTGGTTACTCAACAGCCACGACAAAGCCCCCAGGGGCCTGGCCTCCGCCCCAGCAGGCAGGTGATGACAGCCTCTCAGGAGCCAGTGACCTCAGCTTCTGGAGGCAGGAATGAGGTGGGTGGGGTGCAGGGGCTGAAGCCAGCTTGGGGTGTGTCCCCAGCACGCAGATCCCACTGGGCCTGTCTCTGAGGAGGAGGGTGGCTGAGGAGGAGGGTGGCCACCGAGCCTAGCTTCCTCCTGGCTGGCCCTGCCCAACCCGCTAGACCAGTGGCAGTGGCTGCTCCCAGTCCTGGGGAGGGGGTACTGGAGGGACTGGGTGGGCAAGGGCCCCAGGGAGTGTCTGAGCCTTTCTTCCTGGAGAGAATCTGCATGGCGAGAGCACAGAGCATCTTGTAAAGGGCCCCAGATTTTATGGGCGTGGGTGCTGACATTCGTAGGGACACCATGTCCACAGCAGAGGCCCAAGTCACTGGAGGAGGGTGACTGGGTGGAGAGCCAAGCAGGCTGGCAGCAAGGGTTGGAGACCGTGACAATCAGTCAAAGGAAGAAGCGGGGCCTCCTGTGTGCCTTGGAGGTGAGGAGGGATGCACTAGGGTGGGCCAGGCCTGCCAGAGATGGGCAGAGGCCAGGAGCTGCTGGCTTTGGTCCAGGCACCGGGAGAAGCGGCTGGGCGGGGACAGGGAGGGGGCCAGAAACCGCCCTCAGTCCATAGGGCACTGCAGCAGGAGGGCCAGACAAGGCTGCTCCCTCATGCTGGCCTGGGGAGCTTAGGAGAGGACAGGAAGGGAAGAGCTGGCGCAGGGGGTGCTCTGTGCAGAGCAGCAGGTGCACCCAACCCGCCAGGCTCGGGAGCTGGTGTTGGCCAGGTGCAGCCTGCCGGGTCCAGGCGGGCCCTGGGCTGGGCCTCGCTGCTGTGCTTGCTCACCTGGGCAGAGGTCCTTCCTGTTCCCTGCTCGCCCCGAGCTTCTCCCCCTGCGACGAACCTGTGGCAGCCTGGGTGAGCTTCAGTTCCCCTGCGCCCTCACATCAGGTGCTTCATTCTAGGTCAGGCTGCTGCTACCCTCGAGGGCGACCATTCTGTCCCTTTGCCGGACCCAAGCTCCTTCCTGCTGCTGCCCCTTCCCTGGTCATGGAGGCTGGGAAACAGGACAGCTGGTGGCTTCTCGGATAGTGCTCCACAGTCTGTGCTGCTTCGGGTCAGCGTGGGGAGAGGAGCAGATCGGGCTGGCGACAGGGCCCAGGTCGCCTGGGCAGGAGCAGGGACTTCCTTAGGGAGGTGAGCGGCCCTGGAGCCAGTGTGGGAGGGAGGAGGAGAAGGCAGCGGGGACTGGCAGCCAGCCAGGCCTCCTTGTCACCCACAGCGGGAAGGGGAAGGTGACAAGAGGACTGAGCTAAGTGGCAGTTGGAACACCGAAAGCTGGGAAGGAGGTGGCGCACACCTGGCTTTAGTTCACGGGACAGGGTGGGGACTGTTCGGTGTTCTGTCCAGCCACCTCCCCACAGTGCCTTCCACCTACAGAGACCCACCTGAAAGCTGGACTCGGCACCTTTGGAAAGTTCCCTCTCCCCTGGGCAGTGTCCCTTATGGGGAAGGCTCCTCTTCTGCCTTTCCCTCAGATTTGAGAGGTAGTATCATTAAGAATGCAGGTCCTAGAGCCATACTGCAGGGGTTCAAATCCTGACTGTGCATTTGCTGTGTGTCCTTGGGTAAGTTATTTAGCCTTGCGGTGCCTCCGTTTCCTCATCTGTTAAACGGGAACAGTCGTAGTGCTGACGAGGATTCCATGAGCAGCACAAATACAGCACACAGCACTGTGCCCAGGACAGGGTTAGACACAGCATCCTTTCTCCCTGCCTCACAGACCAGCACGGACCTCACAGCTCTCCACGCGCTCGACGCTGAGAGGCCAAGTCTGCCTCCCGCTCCCTGCAGGCCAGGTCTAGGCAGAGGAGGGGTGGTCTCCCCACAGCTGCCTCGATCTACCTTCACAGTCCCGTGCTGGGAGCAGGACGCCCAGAGTTCCCACAGAGAGACCTAGCCTGTGTTCAAGTCTCGCCATGGCCCCTAAACAGCGATGTGATCTCAAAGCACTCAGCTTCCGTGAGCCTGAGCTGCCTCCCCTACAAACAGGGTTAACGACAGTATCTACTTCGTAGGAAGGTCGTGAAGATGGCGTCTGCGAAGTGCCTGGCACGAAGAGCCACCCCACAGGTAGCTGCTGTCATGGGTGGCACACAGCAGGTGCCCCATAAACGCCAATCTCCTTCATCTGCAGTAAGTCTGTCCCCACCGCTTCCCTTTTTGTCCCCAACTTTTTCCTCAAGAGTCACAAAGATCAAGACCAACCCACGGGACCTCAGGTTCCCTCAGTCTCAGAACATGAGACACCTCAGCTCAGGACCAGCACTTAGTGTAATGGCTATGTCGCTGAACTCCCATGTAGTCGACTGAGGTTCGAGTCCCAGACCCGGTGGCTTAAACTCACGCTGGGAGCATGTGCGTGCGTGCCCAAGATCCCAAGAGGAGAATGGAGGAGAAGGGATTGCAGCACGGGGGGCGGTGATTTCTCACGTTCTGTCTCTGTCTTTCTGGCGAGCGGACGCGCCCTATAGCAAAAACCTCTCAAAAAAAAAAAAAAAAAAAGACACCTCAGCTCTGGAAGGCCCTCCCTGCTGTCCCACCAGAATGACCCGGACACGCACACCTTCCGTTCACTCAGAGTTCGCAATCAGGCACGAGCAAAGGGGATGGATGGACGTGGAAGGAGGGAAAGCCTGAAGACGCAACGGTACAGCTGCTCCCAGACTCAGCCAAGCTTGAGAGTGGAAGCAGAGAGGGTCACCCGCCAGGAGGGCGAAGGGTGGGCCCAGCGGGCACCGAGGCCTTTGTGCAAACATTTAGGAAGGGGGACAACCAGGGAGGGGTGCTCCTGGGGGTGCAGGGTGGAGGGAGAGCAGGAGGCTGCTTCAGTCTGCTGGAAAATAAGAAAACTGAGACAAAAATATCAGCCGTGAAACTGGTTGGATGCCAAGTGCGCCAGATCTGTCAGGAATTCGACCCTGGTGCTAAGCCCCAGTGCTCGGGGCTGTCACTGACACCGCGGCAGAGGGGACAAGTGGGTCTTTAAATAGCTCAGTGTCTCAGAAGTGGGGGAGGCAGAATGTTAAATATGACGCCTGCTGCCTTCCTGGGCCCCCAGAGGCCGCAGTGTCTCCCCCCATCTCAGGCAGGGCCAGCCTGCCCCAGCTCACTCCCAGGGGAAGAGGCAGATCCAGATGGGAAAAGGGCTTCTTCCATGATCGAAAAGGACTCCTTGATTTCCTGCCATTGTCCTCCAGCAGGTCTTGTCTGACTATTGGGAAGTCCTTCCTGAAGTCCCACCATCACTGCTGCAGCCCCAACCTCCCTCCCCATGTAGTTTCCCCAGTGGAGGCAGGAGGTGGAAGACCATCAGCCCCACCTGCAGGAGCCATCCTGAGGCCTGACTTCCCTGCCACCTCCACACTGCAGGCGTGCTCCTGCCTAGATGAAGGGGTGGGGACCTGGTTTGGTCTCTAAGCCCATCAGAGAACAGGGCCCCTGCTCGGTGACATCAAAGAGCCACGGTGTGTAGAGCTTTGCGGGGCTCCCCCAGCCCTGGCTGCTCACATAAGCCCAGGCCCAGACAGCAAGGCAGGGGCTGTTTTCTGGCTCATGTTTTCTTTATCCTTTTTTTTCCCCCAGAGTTTTGCCATAGAGCACGTACACTCACTGGAGAGATGGAAAAACAGAAACACCACAATCCCTTCTCCATTCTCCTTTCAGGATTTAGACACGCACACACACGTGCCCAGCGTGAGTTTCAAGTCGCCGAGTCTGGGACTCAAACTATGGTCGACCACGTGGGAGTCCAGAGTTTTAACCACTATGCCAACTGCTGGCCCCCTGGCTCATTTTTTTCAGAACTTCCATCAGCTCTGCTGGGGGACAGGACTTCTCATGTCCCAGGGAAAAATACTTAGTCACCCCTTCCCCAAGACCTAACCTGAAGCGGGTAAGGGAGGCTCCTGCATCACCCCCACAGAAATCAGGAACCCCACTTGCTCCCAAATAACTAGACAAAGACAAGGTCCATCGCCACACCTTCCCTTACAGCTCGGGTCCTCCCTCCTGCAGGGACGCACACACAGGACTGAAGATCACGTGCCAATCCCAGCCAGGTCACCAGAGGCAGTGAGGGCCCAGGAGTGGCACAAGAGGGCATGTTCCAGAACCGCATAAACAGGGGCATGCCCTAAGACACAGGCCCCAGCCATGTGCCCTTTCCTGCCCTGCCATCTGCCTTTCCCTAAAGGTCCCTGGTCACGCTAGACTGCAGGACCTAGCACACGAGGGGTATGGCCCCATACCAAGAAGAAAACTGAGTTGCAGATACCACTGAGATGGAAGACTCAAGAATCAGGGAGGGGGGATCAGCAGGTGGCATGGTGGTTAAGGGGCTGGACATTCCTGCATGGCCGCCCATGGTTCGAGTCCTGGACCTGGTGGCTTGCTTTCTCACTTCCTCTCTCTCTCTCTCTCTCTCTGGTCAAATTAAAATGAATTTAAAAATAAATAAAAGTAAATCAATAATTTAAATAAAGAATCAGGGAGAATGAGGCTAGAGTTGTGACGTGATCTCTGGTTCCTGGCTCGTGTCATGAAGGCAAAGGCTGGGACCCCCTGAGGGTCTCTCCAAGAAGGCACTGAGCTTGGTGCAGAGACTTCAGAAGCGGCCACCCTGTCCTCGCTAATACAGGCAGGGGTAGGGTGCAGACAGTGGGCCCAGACAGTGTCCCAGGAAGAGCCTCAAGGGAAAGGGGACAGTTGTAACTTCCTCAGTTTCTCTGCTCTTCCTGCTTCCTTGGCCAGGACCAGACTCCTGTCTCTGCGAGAGTCCTCACAGGAAGTGGTGGCTCCATCTCACCCATGCCAGTGATAGCGTGCGCTGATGCAAGGCCCTCCCTGCCTGTGTCACAGAGTCCCTGGCTGCCTGCTCCACCTCTACCTCCCTCCATTCCCCTTAATACAGTCACACGGAGGCCAGGCTGACCATGAGCTGTTTCCCTGATTTCTTCTTCTTCTTTTTTTAATTAAAAAAAAATTATTGGTGCCAGCAGGTGGCATGGTGGTTAAAGGCACTGGACTCCCACATGGCTGACTATGGTTCGCGTCCCAGACCTAGAGGCTTGCTTTCTCACTTTCCTCTCTGTGTGTGTGTCTCTCTCTGGAAATATTAAAAAATAATAATAATAAATAAAGTTAAATAAAATAATTTTTTAAAGAATTATTTATTTTATTTATTATTCTTCAATTTGACCAGAGAGAGACAGAGAAAGAGAAAGGGACAATAAGAAAGCAACCCACCAGATCCAGGACTTGAACCATGGGCGGCCATGTGGGAGTCCAGCACCTTAACCATCATGCCACCTGCCACCACCATAGTTTCTAAGCTCTCTGCAATCTTTTTAGGTAATACTGTTTTTCTTTTCTCTCTTTCTTTTTTTTTTTTAGGAATTTTTTTTCTTTAGGGCGTGTATGCTTGCTGGAGAGACAGAGAATAACAGAGAGACAGAAAGCAAGAAATCACCCCCCAGGGGTGAGGGCCACTCCGCAATCTCTTCTCCATTTTCCTCTCAGGATTTTGGGCATGCACACATATGCACCTGACGTGAGTTTTTTAAGCCACCAGGTCTGGGATTCAAACCACAGTTGACTACGTCCAGTAACGTAGCCATTACACCATCTGCAGGTCCTTAGACGATACTTTTTTTTTTTTTTTTTCATTCTTTCTTATTTATTTCAATTTGACCAGAGAGAGAGGGAAAGTAAGAAAGCAAGCCACCAGGTCTGGGAATTGAACCGTGGCTGGCCATGGGGGAGTGTCCAGTGCCTTAACCATCACACCATCTGCAGGCCCCAATGATACTGTTTTGATCATGAAACAAAACAGCTCAGCTCAGTTCCCGGGGAGGGGCTTCAGCACTCACAAGTGCAAACCCCTGCCTCTCTACAGCAAGTGCTCGACTGTCTCTAGCACAGGACAGAGGCCGCCCAGGAGAGGCCCTGGAGTTAGAGGGCCCTGGATGCCAACCCTGTCTCCACTACTTGCTAACCTGTTCCCTGTTAGCTTCATGCAAGTCTTCCCCCCTCAGCCTTACTCAGAGCTTACAGGGTTGTCTTTTTAAATTTTGTATTTTATATTTTAAAATAATTTTAAATATTTCCTGAGGATATGTGTGCTTGCCAGAGACAGAGAGAGAGAAAGTGAGAAAGCACACCCAGAGGGGATGGCCATGCTGCAGTCCCTTTTCCTCCGTTCTCCTCTTGGGACTATGGGCATGCATGCACATGCACCTGGAGTGTTTCCCGAGTCAGTGGGTCCAGGACTCGAACTACGCAGTTGGCCATGTGGGATCCAGCTGTCTTAATCACCATGCCACCAGCTAGCCCCACAGGGGTATCATAAAGTTGTCTTTGTCTTATTTTTTTAACGATAAAATGTGTGCATGTATATGGGAGAAACAGACAGACAGACAGAAAGGCATCCTTGACAAGGTCTCCTCAGGCCGTGATCCCCTTTCCCTGTCTCCCGGCCTGTAAGGATCTTGGGTGCCCATGTGAGCACCCAGTGTGTCCCAGGTCAACCAGAGATCTGAACTCATGGTCAGCCATGTGACTTCCAGCCCTGCAGCTCAGCATGCTACCACCTGTGGCCCCCAGGGTGGACCGTGAGGATTAAATGAGAAGATGTAAAGGACTCAGGCCAAGCCTGTCACAGGGCTGTGTTCTGTAACCACAATATTATTACTGCTCTTTGTCGAACAGGAAGTAGTAGGAGAAATCAATATTTCTCCGAGGGCCAACAACCTCTACCTCTGCCCTCCTCCCAGTGCCCATCTCCCAAGTCTAAGGATCAGCCTGAAATTCTCAGCACAGCCCCATTATCAGGTCCTCAGAGACCTCTGCGTGCCAGATCCAGGGGCATCCTTCAGCTCTCATTTAAGCTGACTGCCCAGCAAAATTCAGGAGAGCAGACTGCTCTCCCCTTCCTGTCCTTGCCCCAGAGCTCCCCCAAACACACAATCTCCTTGCCTTTCACCTACCCTACTGGCCAATCCAGTTTCCGCTGCTGACGTACCCTCCTTTGTCCAGCCATTCAGCTGTGGGTTCCTCAGGGCTCTGTCCTAGACCCCCTTCTCTTTTCACTAAGTCCCCCCTTGGTGATCTCACCCACACCCAGAGCTTCACACACTGTCTCGAAGCACAACACGGGGCAGCCTTGATTGCTCTCTCCCCTGCAGTTCCGCCCGAGGTCTGTCAGCTGAGCCAGGACAGTGAATGCGGATGCTGGGGTGGGGAGCATTGGATGGTGGCACAGTGGTGATGCCATGCTCTGTAAGACAGACTTACACGCGGAGGTTCTGGGTTCACATCCACAGACCTCCCTGAATACACCAACTGCACAACCACGATCCAGGGCTGGCTGAAGCCGGGGGTGGTAGGGTGGTGATGAAGTGCAGCATGAAGACATTGCTGTGGCTGCTGTCTTCTCTCTCACTCAGCCATGAAAGAAAGAACTTAAAAAAAAAAATAATAGTGGCCTCTGGAACTAGATACCTGGATTCAAACCTTGGCTCCGGAACCTAGGGCAGGTTATTGAAACTTTTCAGTCTTTGGTTTCTTCATCTGCAAACTAGGCATAATAATAACACCTACTTTATAAGGCTGCTATGACACGAATAAGGTTTAACTGCTTAGAACGACGCCTGGTATACAGTAAAAGCCATGTGTGTGTTTAACTAAGTCAATATTATTTTTCAAATTTTGTAGGAGGGTGCATGCACTTGGTGAGAGATATGGGTTTGGGAGGGTGAGAAAACGCCCCCCACGGGGAATGGTGGTACTTCAATCCTCTCTCCTTCATTTTCCCCTCCCTTTTAGACATGCTTGTACATGTGTTTCTCAGGTTGCCAGGTCCAGGACTTAAACTGTGTGGTTAGTTATGTGGGATCCAGCTCCTTAACCACCATACCACTGGCTGGTCCAATCAAATTACATTCTTAAAAAATGTTAACATCACCTCCAAAACACTCTGCAATGCTCCAGACCCGAGCCTCCTCTCGTCTAGCTCCTGAGCCCTGTGCTAAAACCACCAACTGGTCTCCTGCATCCACTCCACCCCCTCCAATCTGTTCTTCCACACTAGACAGGATGACTCTCCAAAGGGCAAATCTATTCACGAAACTTCTTTCCCCAGGCCTCATCTCAAATTCCTCAGTACTGGCAAGTCAAGGCTCTCATGGGCTGGCCCCATCCACAGCCCACCTGGCCACCCATCCCCAGCCTCCTGCATGGCAGGCTCCCAGCCCTTCAGGTCATTCGAAGTCTCTCATCCTCTCCTGCCTGGGAACATTCTGAGCCTTCTGTTTAGAAGACTCCCCTACTTTCCTCAAATCAGTCTGGTTAACATCCGCTTCCCCTTGCCATCTTTCCTCCAATGACCCTTCCTTAAGGAAGCCTTCTTGGATTGCCCAGTATTAGTATAGCCCTCGTGCAGCACTTCTCTCCTCCACAGCACTGTTCACAGTTGTGCTTTTACATCCAATCCTGTGATCAGCACCTAAGGGCAGGGCCCCTGTCTGGGTTTTGTTTGTTTGCTTGTTTGTTTTCTTAAGAGAGATTTTTGCTATAGGGCATGTGCACTCGCTGGAGAGCCAGAGAGACTAGAAAGTGAGAAATCACCCCCCTCCCATGGCCCCCAGCAGATCTTTGGTGGTTTCCTCCCTCAGGACAAGAACAATGTTTTTTCCCTCTCTTTTTCCCAAACAGCTTGGCCTGGGACTCTGCTAGAAGGCTGAGGTGTGATTCAGCACCTTCCTGGTTTTCTCCCCAGGCCTGACACCATGCAGTGTGACTTTAGTCCAGGAACTGGAGGGAAGGCTGGGTGAGCAGAGCCCTGTTAGGAGCTCAGAGGGCTCTGAGAGTCGCTCCCTCTCAGCAGCAGGCCCCTGCCAGGTTACCTACCCAGGCGAAGGCCACGCAGGTGTGGTACATGGGGGAGGAGGCCGGCACGGAGGTGCGGTAGCGCCAGAGCATCATGAGACTGGCCAGGCCGTTGAGGAAAGAGGCCACGGCAGAAGCCGGCTCTTGGAAGAACAGGAACCGGGAGAAGGGCCACTGCAAAAGGAGCAAACGGAGGGGGCCTCAGGGGCAGGCAACCCCCAAGTGCCCAATCAGCCTTTTCATTGATTGATTTGCCAGAGGGCGTGTACACTTGTCAGAGAGAGACAGAAAGAGAGGGGGAAAGTGAGGAGGCACCCCTCATGGAGGATGGTCCTGCTGCAATCCCTTCTCCTCCATTTCTCCTTTTGGGATTTTGGGCACACACACAAACACATCTGGTGTGTTCCTTAAGCTGCTGGGTGCAGGACTTGAACTGCGCAGTCAGCCATGTGGGATCTAGCCACCTTAACCACCATGCCACCAGCTGACCCCAATCAGCCTTTTCTCAGCATCTGCATCAATAGGTCCCCAGCTTGTTCCTCACTTCTGAACTCTGGCCAAAGCCTCAGGTTCAGTCCTTCTTCAGGCCAGTGAGCTCCTCTCCAGTGTCTGGCTAAGCCTCGTAGGCCCTGCATTGGCCAATACACACAGCAGGCAAGCCCTGGTCTCTGGGCAAAGCAGGTGGGCCAGTGTAGGAGCTCAGTGAGTCCTGGTGGAGATGGAACACACCTGCCACCCAGAATACACAGGTCCAGTCCCTCCTCTGCTACCCACCACAGCCCTCTGAGCTTCTGCTTAGTTCAGGGCAAACTGAAGAAAATGATGCCAATCTAACAGGCTAGAGTGAGATCATGTTAGACCAAAAGGCACAGGGAACCGCCTTGCTAGACACTCTACGGGGACTGACTGGTAATCTAGGCTCCCTACTGGAGAAGCCATGATGGGCCAGAGAATGTGACCCTGCAGCAAGGGGGGCATCTCAGCCACCCTCAGATCCTCAGCACCACCCTCTGAGGAGAAACCCAAAGCTTTCCAGATCATGGTACTCCAAATCCAGAGGCAGGCCTCATTGGCACCTCCTGATTATATGAAGACCAGCAGATGTTGAGAAGAATGAGTACCTGTCCCATCAGCCCAGGCCTCAGATTACTTGGACAATGATCCTCCTGAGGGGTATCTTATCACCATCATGCTACCCCGTACACCAACCCTGACTCTCCAACTCACCTTTCCATGGAACTGAGGCACTCTGTGACCTTCTTGGAGGTAGAGGCCAACGGTGACCCACATGCACTCATACTTGCAGTCGTCCCGACAGGTCCAACCTGAAACAGATGAACGTGATCTGTTGTACTAGGGGTACAGAGTGTGAATGTGGCCCAAGTTCAAAGCCAGGCCAGGAAGGCTGGCAAGTTAGAGAGGACAGGAGAAAGCTCAAAATTCTAGCTTTCGGGAACCAGCAGTTAGCGTAATGGCTATGTTGCTGGACTCCCACGTAGTCGACCGCGGTTCATGTGCCGGACCCGGTGGCTTGAACCTCACGCCGGGCGCGTGTGCGTGCGTGCCTAAGATCCCGAGAGGAGAATGGAGGAGAAGGGATTGCGGCGTGACCATCCCCCCTGGGGGGTGATTTCTCGCTTTCTGTCTCTCTGTCTCTCTCTGTCTGTCTGGCGAACGCATGCGCCCTATAGCGAAAGTCTCTCAAAAAAAAAAAAATTCTAGCTTTCCACCTGGATGGGTGGAAAAGACATACACATAAAGGACAGGGGCCAGTGTACATGTGAGTACAATCGAAGGGTATACGGTGAGCAAACAGAGATGTTTCTTCTCTTTTTCTGTCACTTAAGATGTGGCTCTTGGGGGCTGGACTCCCACATGACCAACTGCAATTCAAGTCCCACATCTGGCGGTTTGGAAGTCACACTGGGCATGTGTGCGTATGTGCCCAAAATCCCAAGAGGAGAAGGGAGGAGAAGGGATTGTGGATTGGCCACCCCCCAACTAGGGGATGACTTCTCACTTTCCCTCTGTCTCTGGTGAGTGCATGCACCCTATGGCAAAAACCTAAAAAAGAAAAAGGGGGGGATGGATCTTGACACCCAATGGGTTGGTCTATGGAAACCTGGGTTTATGTTTGTCTTCTCAAAACACAGGATTTACTCTTGCTTACCAGGAATAGGGTCTTTGTTGTCTTACCACCTTCTATGAAAATAAAACCCAACTTATTCAGCCTGACTTTGAAAGCTTCAAATTGCCTTTGTTTGTCACTATTTCTTTTTTTTTTTTCTTTTAAATGCCAGAGGGCACATGCAAGAGAAAGAGAAAGTGAGAGAGAGAAAGCGCCCTCCCACAGGGGATGGTCACACTGTAGTCGTTTCCTCTTCCATTCTCCATCCACCAGGATCTGGGCCCTTGCACCCCAGGTGTATTTTTCAAGCTGCGAGGGCCAAAATTTGAACCCTGGTTGGCCATTGTAGGGTCCAGCTTCCTCTGCACAGTGCTAACTGCTACACCAAGGGCAGCTCAAGTCACTACTCCTATCATGCACTGCTACATGTTCCAATCTGCCCTCCCACTCTCTCTGTTACCTGTTTGGAATACAAAGAGGTAGAAAAGAGGACAAGCTTGTGGTCATACAGGCCAGAATCAGAAACTGTGTATTATTATTTACCGTGTGCCCTTGGGCAACACATTTAACCTTTTAAATTTCCCCATCAGTAAAACTGGGATTAGAGAAACTATTATACCTCAAAGGATTATGGTGAAGGGACCAGCAGATGGTGTGATGGTTATGTTGCTGGACTCCCGTGTAGTTAACTGCTGCTTGAGTCTTGGACCCAGTAGCTTAAAACTCATGCTGGGTGAGTGTGCATGCATGCCCAAAATCCAGACAGGAGAATAGAGGACAAGGGATTGCAGTGTGGCCATCCCCCCTGGGGGGTTATTTCTCACTTTCTGTCTCTGTCTCTCCAGTGAGGACACAGGCCCTATAGCAAAAATCTCTCTTAAAAAAAAAAAGGTTGTGTTGAAACGAACTGAACTACTGTGACCCCTATCACATAGGAGGTACTCATATACTAGTTCCTGGCCCACTAAGATCAAAAGTCCAAATTTATTGAATCTATCCTAAAGTCCCCCCCTTCGCAAATAATTGTCCCATTCTTTCAAAGCCAGAATGAATTCTTTCCTCTCCCAAACTCTCTAGTGCTTAGTCTTTCAGGGCTTGTCCTTGAAAGGCCAATGTTCCCAGAAGGGCTGTGAGCCCCAAAGGGCAGAATCCTGGCCTACCAAGTTCTGTCATTCGAGGGCCTTGAACCCTGTGGATGAATAAATTAAAATGAAATGGAAGCTACTGGGAAAGACACGCTGATGAGACTCTCATCCACCCCCCAGGGCTCCACTCACTCATAAAGAACCCCCCTAAAGGAGCACAGCACTAAGGTTTAGAAAACGCCAAGGAATACTTGGGAAGCGAGGGGCGGGGCCAATACCAGGGGGCGGGGCTTACCAGCTAGGCTCATGTAGATTGGCTGGCGGGAGCGGAAGTGCTTTAGCGCGCCCCCCGAGCAGTTCCGCTCTTCGCACCGGAGCACGCAGTCGCGGTACACCGGCTCCCCGTCGCGCTCGGCGCAC